TCATTCCAACATCCATAATTGCAAACTAGAGTTAGCTGCTTTCGTTTGCAATTGTACGATATAGAAAAAGGCTTTTCTCTGCTCGCAAGCACCTCTGCTTTAAAACCTTTACAGTTCCCGCCAAAGCTTTTCTTAAGTTTATTGGCGACTTCACTCTGAGGGATGCCACAAAACTTCGAGAAATCGTGGAGGAGACGATTTTTTTTAAGTGTATTTAATCACATTGTCCTCCACTGACACCCCAAAAGCTGAAGGCGCCCCCTGCACAGACTTCACTAAAACTTCAAATATTTCTTGAGGGAGGTCACGCTTCACCTCTATAGTCCATGGATTGGAAGCCTTCGGGTTTGCCGACATCCGCCTTCTTATCATGTTCAGCCAGATCAGAATCTCTGATGTGATCATGGGCCACGCCGGGAGGGAAGACATGAGAGATTTATCCATCCCATGCATGTTGGTGGTAGACATTCGGCATTAGCTGACGAGCTTCCTTCCTAAAATGGGTCTAATTGGAAATAGAGCGCCGAAGAACAGTAAAATTGCCTATCGACGCCTCCAAAATATCATTTACACTACCTTCAGGGCCTTCATCTTCCTCGGTTTCTACACTCTCCACCAAAACTTGTTCAATTACTTCTTCACGGGAGAAACGCTGTCTTCTGGCCGCCATTTTTTTTTGGTAAGACTGCTGGTGTGACCGCGGTAACTAAATGACAACTTTTTTGAGACAGCTGACCCGGCATGTCGTGAATGAAAAAACAAAAGTTGACAATTTCTCAAATTGTGAGTTCATTTAAAAAAGAAATGGGTGCAAATCCAATTTCAAAGATTAAATTGACGAAAGATTTTGCTGATTTCACTTTACTTTCTGTACAGGGAAAATTGAAGATTATTAACGAGCCAGATGAAGAACAATTTACAGGATGGAACATTAACTTAACTCGATTGTGTGATAGCAGATGATACCAAAGATTTTCCAGCTATGTTTCGACAAGCTGAGAAGGGAGTGAGCAATTTATTTCTCCAAGATAACTGCCCATGCCAGATTAAAAAGAAGACATACAGACTTACACTAAAGCACAGAAAAGCTACCAAATATCCAGATAATATCGAACCAAAACTAAGTGCAAGATCCAACAATGGCTGGAG